TGTTATATAATTATAAAAGACTGTCAGCAAAAGGTTGAACAAATAGTGATGTTGTCCTTTCCTGGTTCCTGATCTGTAGAGAGAATATATTTAACCTTCCCCAATTGTTACGATATAAGTGGTAGGTTTTTATACAGAATCCCTAACACATTGAGGAAAGCACCTTTTAGTCCTAGTTTTCTGAAATTTTTTTAAATTATAAATGACTGTTGATTTTTGCCAAGTATATTTTCTGTGTCTATAGAGAAAAACCATACGGCTTTTATTCTTTATAATATGTTAAGAGTCATTGCTTAATTTTTTTTAAAAAAACAATGAACCAATCTTACACTACACTCCTGAAGTAAAAACTACTGGGACATATTATACTGATTTGTTGCATATTGTTAAATTCAAAATCCTAATACTTTTCTAATAATTTTTGTATCTCTCATCATTATGGTATATTTATAGGATACTTTAGGGATAACTTGTAGGAGATCTGACACTGAGGAGTTTCATAGGACATGGAATTTTCAGTGTTAAAACTGGTGTAGTCAAACACAAAATCAGAGAGTTGGTCGCCCTAGATATTAATTTCTAGATACTAGCCTCTGACTTCATAATATTTTTGTCTGGTTTTGGTATTAAGACAATGTTGAACTTATAATCAGAATGTTTTCTTCCACTGCTCTTTTATGAAACATTTTGTAGAACTGGTAAAATTTATTCCTTGATATTTTGATGCAATTTGCTAGAAAAACCACTTATATCCTGATGGCTCTTTTTGGACAAGTTTTTGATGTTTAATTCAAATGTTATAGTAGATGTAAGAGCTGTTTATATTTTCTATATCTTCTTGTTCCATTTGATGGTTTCTCCAAAATAACAGCACCCTAATAATCCCCAGTACCTATGAATGTCCTATGTTACATGGAAAGGGGGAATACAGTGGTCCTGCCAGCAAAATACAGGTGTGTTTATTGTCAAGTACAATCAACATAATGTTTCCCTCTGGAGTAAAGTCATATAGGCTACGATCCAAAAGATCCATGTTTCCTGAACCTGAGGTTCTTATGTAATGAAACCCCATAGCTTGTTCCCATGTCATCTGGCCTTCTTTTCTTTACTCTGTGGAAATTGGGACTCAAGGGATCAGCATGAATACTAATACTATGACTACTGCTCTTGTGGTATATAATTAAGTCCTTTATCTCTGACCCAGGAATCTCA